GTCAAAAGGTTATTTTGATGAATGTTTTAACTGGCCAGTCAGTAGACCCTAACTGAAGTAGCTATAATAACAAAAGCGAGCCAATAAAAACGGAATGAAAATTTGGTCTTGAGTTTCAAATCCAAGTTCTATCTTATCGTTTTGAAATCATATTGATTTATTCCTGTAGGAAAGTCTGTAGAGTGTTCCATGCAAACTTTGTGGAAGAAAATACAAAAGATTATCAACTTCTATTTATACACAAATGAAACTTTATACCATATAAAATGAATAACCTAAGTTATGCTTGAACTTCTCGACCATCACCCATGAAGCCAACAAAAAAATTGGATGGTTTTAGCTTTTAAGGACCCATCAATATAAAAATCTGTTCTGGAGTCAAATTGGAATATCTGTTAGTCTTCAGGGGCAATCATCTAATGACATTTAGAATAATTTCATTACAATAGTTTGCATCTGGTTTGTTACGCAAATAGAATTATAAGATGGGAAAATTCAAAACATTACAAAAAATGGTACCTGATTTGTATTTAGCTGCCTGCTTGAAAGGAACACAAAGTCTGTGATAAACAGTTTTGTTAACTGTGATGTTGCTTTCTCCTTTAGTCTTTTCATACTCTTCAAAACATTCCTCACTCAAATATTTATCATCACTGATAAAAAAAAAAAAATACTTCAGAACCAAAATCCAAAACGTTTCATGAAAATTGTTAAAAAAAACAACTGTTTACATAAAAGTGTTAAAGGAAAACTTAGTATCATGCATTGTAACTAAGTTTTGTGGATTGTTACTTAGTATCATGGATTGTAACTAAGTTTTCTGGATTGTAACTTAGTTTTGTGGATTGTTACTTAGTTTTGTGGATTGTTACTTAGTATCATGGATTGTAACTAAGTTTTCTGGATTGTTACTTAGTTTAGTGGATTGTTACTTAGTTTTATGGATTGTAACTAAGTTTTCTGGATTGTTACTTAGTTTTCTGGATTGTTACTTAGTTTTATGGATTGTTACTTAGTATCATGGATTGTAACTAAGTTTTGTGGATTGTTACTTAGTATCATGCATTGTAACTAAGTTTTGTGGATTGTTACTTAGTATCATGGATTGTAACTAAGTTTTATGGATTGTTACTTAGTATCATGGATTGTAACTAAGTTTTATGGATTGTTACTTAGTATCATGGATTGTAACTAAGTTTTGTGGATTGTTACTTAGTATCATGCATTGTAACTAAGTTTTGTGGATTGTTACTTAGTATCATGCACTGTAACTAAGTTTTGTGGATTGTTACTTAGTATCATGGATTGTAACTAAGTTTTCTGGATTGTAACTAAGTTTTCTGGATTGTTACTTAGTTTTGTGGATTGTTACTTAGTATCATGGATTGTAACTAAGTTTTGTGGATTGTTACTTAGTATCATGGATTGTAACTAAGTTTTCTGGATTGTAACTAAGTTTTGTGGATTGTTACTTAGTTTTGTGGATTGTTACTTAGTATCATGGATTGTAACTAAGTTTTGTGGATG